CCACCGCAGTTTGTCCTTCATGAGCCTTCGTAGACAAGATGGCGGTCCAAGATGGCGGCTGCCTTTAGTGGCGACCCGCGACCGTAGAGATAAAAACAGGTTTTTATAAAGGTAAAAATAATAAAACAAGGTCTTTGTCTGCAATGATTAGACATGTTTTTTTATTATTGTCATTAGTGATTATCTCAATTTCGGCTAAAAGAATTGACAAAATCCTTCMCACTGTTTCTTTAAGCTGAGCGAGCTACTTCTACATTTTAGCTGCTGGAGGATAATTTAGTCTTTAATATAAACCATTTAACTCAACTTACTGTTGTGTTTTTTGTCAACAGGAGAGTTTCAGTGGAAAATTTCACCTTTAGTGTCACAGAAATTGAATTTCAACGCAGTTAGCATTTAGCTTAAATTAGCACCGAAGAAGCAACTGTGGTGTTTGACAACGTCACGTCAGTCCTCATCAAACACTCAGACATCCAGGTGTGCTCGTTTGATAATAAAACCCTGCAGCTCTTTCCTAATAATCCGATAAACAGGAAGCGAYAGAACCGTTAGCTTCAAGCTAGCCTTTTAGCTTTAGCTAACGTCTAAGGCGAATCGTTAGCGCTAAGATAAACGCTAACAGGTGCGCGTTTTAATGATTTTCGGCGCCGAGAGAGGAATGAACAAAAACATMCAGAGAAAAACGAAGTTTGAGCTCATTTCCTCACCTTTTTTACTTCGTTCTTCCTGGTTTTAGCTCGATGAAATATGGCGTCTTCCGTCGGTGTGTTTTATGGTAAGCCAATTTATCATATAATAGAAGCTAACACCTGTGTTGAATTATTGCGTGATTCTGCAGAATTTTAAGAGGTAATTAAGTCACTATTATGTTTAATATTTAAAATGTACAGTTGTACATGTTGTACAAGTCTGTACAATGTACAATGTACAGACTTGTAAAAAATAATTTAATTTGAAGAAATAAAGAAACGTGGTGTGATTTGGTTATATGTTACAACGTCGTGCCATACTAGAGAGAGGAAGTGGTTTAATTTCAGCTTTTATGTGTTTATTTGTTTTGTTTATTCGTTTAAATAAATTAAGATGATTATATTTCTGTAAAGTATTTAAATACCAATAATATTTATTTTTATGTATTTTTTCATCATTGGTTTTCAGAAGTCAAACAGCGCCTCTGTGTGGCTTTCATGAAGAATTAGTCATATTTTAATTTATATTATCATTTATTTTCATAGCAATGCAATTATTTGTGTTATAAAAATGACTATTAAATAAAATGCATGTTTCATAACGTGACACCTGGAATAATAATAATTAAATTTTAAAAGACCTTAAATCCTTTGACAGTATGTTTGCTTCACTCTTAATTCAAAATGGCCGCCACAGCCACGAGCTGTAGGGTTGACTCTCATCTACTACCACATTGAGTTTCAGCTCAATGTTCAGCTGCTTTTCTTCTTCAAAATAAAACTTTGATTTTAAACACAAAATACAGAAATTACTAAATCTGAAATCAGCTAAAATCTGCTGAAGAACCTGGAATGGTTTGTTAACGCTAAAGAAAGCAAAACGCTAACCTAAAACGAGCAAAACACTAGCTAAAGAACCAAATTAGAAGTTAAAAAAATATARCTATAACAATAACTAAAAGCCAAAAGTACAACAAAGCTAACGAAAAGCCAAATGTAGCAAAAGTCTAATTAAAAATGACAAATTTTAGCTAAGAGTTAAAGTAACAAAGAGCAGTCAGCTAAAGTTTATTAGTCAGTTTAGCAGCAAAAGACTAGCTAAAAGCTAAAAATAACAAAAAGCTAATTAAAGTTAGCAGATGACTCTAAAAGTAGCTTCATGTAGCAAATTGATAGCAAAAAACTGAAGCTAGCAAAACATTACCTAAAATGTAAATGTAGCCAAAAGCTAGCTAAAAAGCTCTGTAAAAATAGCAAAATGCAAGCTAAAAGTAACAAAAGGCTACAGAAAAACAACAAAAACCTAGCTAAAAGCAACAAATGACTATGTAAAATTAGTTAAAAGCTAGATAACAGTTACAGAAAGCTAGGCAAATTAGCAAAAGGCTAACTAAGTAAGAAAAATCTAGGGAAAAACAGCAAAAATCTATAGCTTGAAGCAACAAAAGGCTACGTAAAAATAGCAAAAAGCTAGATAAGTTACAAAAATCTACAAAAAATAGAAAAATGCAAGCTAAAAGTACCAAAAAGGTTTGCTAAATGTAACAAAACGCTAGTTAATCTTTGTTGATTTGGCTTATTTTATGATAAAAATCAGCAGCTACTTCATAAAAAAGAAAATAAAAAAACTACAAACTAAAACAAGTTATTGCTGAAAAAAGGAGCTAAAAGTCAAAGCTAAAACTGTTATTTAAAACTCTTCCAACACGAACCGATTTATCTTTGGTAAAAGTTCGGCTGTTCTTTGGTCCTTTAGCTCAGTGATTCCCATCCAGGGGTATGTGTACCTCTTGGGGTACGCAAGCATATTTCAGGGGGTACGTGGAAAAACTTCCCAGGTGTGTAAAAAAAATTAATTAATAATTATACGACTGGGATATGTTGATCTGAATGGCCCTATGATTTCCACAATGAGGAAAAGTTGACGGAATCCCGAAACTGACACAAAATGRAATCCAGTATAAAACACAGAATCACAGAATTTGCTCATTTGGGTGAGTTTCTGATGTACTTTGGACGCTGCTGCTTTGTTATTCACTTTCAAGGCAACATACTTATCTTTGATTTGAAAAGAATAAAATGGCTGAGAATTAAATGTTCTAGAAGTAAATAAGTTTCATTTAATAATCAGTTGAACATAATAGTTTTGGAGAATCATCAKTACRTTCAACAGAGGGGGTACTAGCGGTATGACAACATGGATCAGGGGGTACACAAGTCTGAAAAGGYTGGGAACCCCTGCATTAGATCATCACTCACAGCTAAATATCCCAGTTCTGAAAGCTAATCAATCTGATCAGCAGTAGAACCCAAAGGATGGACTCTTTCCTGTGCCTGATGACGTCATCGTGAACAGATCAAACCACCAGGGGGCGCCAGAGTTCAGCTTTTCCTCTCCTCCTCTTTGATCTGTTTGTTTAGTCTGGGAGGCAATTAAAGATGATTTCAGCTGATTGATTTCAATAATTGCTTCAAAAAGCATCGTCTGCATAAATACAGGATTTAGAAACGTTCTCACATCCAGAGAGGCGAAGGCTGAGCTTCTGTCTGAGCAAACGTGTTTGTTTGTTAGCAAAATATCTCATGAAACACTGCCTGGATTTTAATTAAACTTTCAGAGAGTAATCTTTAGATTTACAGCTACAGCTGCCAAATCAAAAAAATGGACACCGCAGCTGATTAAAATAAAAAACAACACAAAAAAATGACCACAACAGTCAAGTTCACTCACAACGAGCTAAAATTAAGCGTGGTAGTAGCTGAGAGTTAATCCCAACACACACTCTGAGCTTGACTTGATCCGGTGCATGATTTAAGTGTTGATCAAACCTGAACACTTTGCTTCCTTGYTTGCTTTTGTTGTTTGTTTGGGGTCATAAACGGGATTAATGCACAAACAGTGAATGTGTGTTCAGAGTGCTGGGGGGTCCTGGTGTGTGTGTGTGTGTGTG